ATGATATGAAATGTAATATTATAAAAATTTTAATTGTATGAACAACGTACTTCCATAATATGTCATTTCAAGAGACAAATTCAATTGATTTTTCGTTGTTGTTGGGGAATTTTGCCATCTGGACAACATTTACTTCCGAATCCATTGCACAAGGCATGACTAAAACGCAGCGTAACTCAGATTTGACTGCTCTGAGAGCAGTCGGTGAAATACGCAGCTATTGGTGCGCGCGTATTAGATGCGCGCGCATTAGATACGCAGCCTTGGAAACCGCTTGCACGAAACTCCATAAGACAAGTGTGCTGCGTCTTAGATGCGCACACGCAGCGCATCTATTACGCGTCTAGGAAACCACAGCCTTACGCTCTTTCCAATGACACCAAGAACATGTAAATCAGTTCAGTAGTTTCGGAGGAGTAATTGTCACAAAAAACCTGCTTGCGTATTAAATAAGTAATAGATAAAAAAAACTGCAATTGTTGATTCATTGTAAACAATTCAGGTTGCGTGTCAATTGTTGTTGAAAGTTTTATCCATCGAATTTCTTAGTTTATTATTATTACTGTATACTTTTGTGAAGAATATTGTAATGTATTTGCGCCAATCTTGCTTTTGGAACTACTAGCACAATTGTTATTTTATGCTAGTATTAACAGAAATGGTTTTCCAATTGTCTAATAATGTTATCTACTCAAGCCTCATGGTTATAAATTGAACACTATTATTTGTATATAGAGACTACCGCCTCCATGACCATTCCAAACAAACCAAACGTGTATATCTCCTCTCCATATAGGACATAGGTAAAGCAAGGGTACGTTTGTTTAGTTTTATTGTTGGTTACGGCATGATACAGCACGCCACAGCCTGTTTGGTCCTGATATCACGTTTGTTGGTAAAACACAACTCGTCCAGAACCGCTACACTATCTACAATACAAGGATGAACATTGTTTAATAACAGCCAGTGTTTTACCTAGAGTACAGTCAACATTACACATGCCTGTTAACAGATACTATTGGTAGGTTGATAGAGGTTGAGCTCTAACTTTTAAAATTATCTTAGCTGTATGAAATGAGTGATTGCAAAATAGTCATTTTTACCTTGTGTGGAGTAATTGATGTTAGGGAAAACTTAATTATTGTTGGATGGGACTATTTGAAGGACCTTTTTGATTTTGTATGAGTAAATGTACCCGATTCGAGTTTACGTTGACTACAGGAGGTGGGTTTTGTAAAAATGGCATTTACTAAATTTCATAATTAATGTTTTTTTACCATTTAAAAGTCGAAATCTTACGGATTTCATTTCATTCTACGTCTGTTGTTTGCTGAGATATTTTTGGTTCAGATAACTTATTTATGTATGATGTAATTGTACATTTATATCTTTATAAGCGTTATGGTGTTATTAACATTATCAAAATAGGATATTTTGCGTTCCTTGTACATAGTAGCAGAAAGCTAAACAAAATAACGTTCTACTTTACAGTGATCTAAATGACGATTAATTTATTTTGTGATGAATAAAATTTCAGTAGCAACAAGACACTTTCCTAATCTGCAGCCTATCCGTAAAAGGTGAAACGTTTGTTTTATTTATAATTCAGATAGTCGTAAGTATCGTATACTTTCATCTATCATAAGTACCAGATGCAATAATCTACAAAAATTTAAACATCTTACAAATGTTACGTAGGCTATTTAAATATTTTAATCATTTTTATAAGTGTCTGATTTTTTAAATAGGTTTAACTAACGACATCGCATCACCACAATAAATAACATTTGGCTTATTATTTAGGTTTAATAAACAAGTAAACTGGTGAACCACTCATAAACCCACCCTTATTAAAGTAATCTTGTTTGGAAATTATAAATTACTACACCAACATTAAAAATCCAGTAGGGTGAAGGTTGGTACGTCGTATAGACTACATCGGGCTCGGATGACAGCCGCAATATTTTTTTCATCTTGATATACGGGTCCAATAGAGAAGTTGCGAGTAGGTTGGTGGGGGGGGGGTAACATACGACCTCCCCCCTAGGTCGTCTGATATATTACTTTTTTGGACACCGCTCATAGCTATAAGTTAAGCTTTGTTTAGTAATGTACATGACTGTTTTTACGCGTCGAATACAGTTATGGTTGAACTAGTTTTTGTCACACTGCAGCAAAAAACGGCTGTTCGAAGTACGTGTGAGGCTAAATCAGTTGTAGTCGAGAACACATCATACGTGTAAACTCTGTCAGTGAATAATGCTGCAGAAAATAGTTAACATTTCACAATGCGTTACAATGATTGCGAAAATATCAAAGGAATAATATTTAAACCTTGGCGTAGGACAATGAGATATTTCAGATTTGGAGGTTATGTCAAATCTAACATTTTAGTTTATATCTATGTATTATATATTTATATATTATATGTGTTATATATATCAAGTGAAACATGGAAATAATCGGGTTCTTTACAAAATGTAACCTTTATAAACTATTTATATAAAAACATGAACATAAGTACAATAGGAGTAAAATATTTTTTAACTCTCATCATTTATCACAGCATTTCTTTATTCGAAAAATCAATTTGGATTTTAACTTTTCAATACGATTGTTCTTAGATAAACCAAAAGTCAGGTATATTTATTTTCTGAGCCTTTTCATCCCAGTATCCCAGTATTTTAAGATAAAGTTTTAGCTGCAGCTCTCAAAATATTGACAATATTCCATTTTTAAATTCATTATTCATAAAAAAACTTCAAAGACTTTGTGTTGCTACTATTAATTTAATCTAATTTACCTATGTTTTATATACATTATCAAATGACATGTGTAAACACAACATTTTCTCAATACGTTTTCTTCGGTTAGTGTCGATTTAACGCCAAAACACAATAAATTTCCCCGAATGAAGTTATTACGCTTTCGAAACTTTAGAGAAATATGGTGTCGCTTGCGTTTAATTAGATCCGGTTTGGGGAAGGGATGAAGATGACAGTGCAATATCGCCCGGCTCAGGCGGGGTATTTTATCACTGCAAGGTTGGTACTGTTATTAAAGGTCCACAATAGTCTTGTTAATGCCTGGGATTACGCAATGTATCATAGGGACGGGCGGGGATTAAGCGTGTTGGTTTATTAAGGTTGGTAACACTAACACTACTGGTTCATTTGCATACCGTTGTATGGTCGATATTTAATTACTGTGTTGTTGGTTTCTGCTTGAAGTCTTGAGTTTGGCAGTTTCATTTAGTGTTATTTTAATTGCTTAGTAGATTAATTGCTTACGTGCTTAAATATGTTTAAGTGTATAGAATTTCGGTTATCGAAAGGGTTCGCAGGCCTATCCGGTCGAAAAAGCTATTTGTTTAGGTTGTTATCAATTGTAATTGTGATTTTATTTGTTTATCTTTCAGTAGAATAAGTACTTGTTATATGATTAAAAGTGCTATTTATTCCTTAAATTATATTTTTATAAATGGATAGTTATAGTATGTTTTTTATTTGTACTTTTTCTTCTTTGGGATTTTGGTTATTTGTACATTTTGGTCAGCAGTGCACATAAATATATCCATATTTACTAAACCAGACATCAATTTTAAATTTAATTTGTTTCTACCTAACAAATCGTTGAACACAATTAATTGTTAAGACATGTTGCGATCTATTGTCCTTTGGAAACAGATTACTTGTAATATTCCTTTATTTCACAATTAATAACTTAAAACCCTTAGTATTCTCTACACACCAAATCATTGAAAACATGTTTTACGTTCTTGAAACACTTAAGTCTTTAATCATTTTAAAGCCTTAAAACGACAACTACTAATGATTCAAATGCATAAGCACATTAGTAATTAAAACTGTTGTACTTTTTTGTGAGTGATTCACTAAAATTGAAAAATATCGGTTTGCAAGAGAAATTTAATTTATTCGACACAGGCAGCTTTTGTTTCTTAATTTTTCTGCCCATCGAGGCGTGTGCAGCGATGTTGCTAGCTTCTTAGTGACTTAGTTCTTATTGGAGACAGAAGGGAGAAATAAAGACTTGCTTGATGAAAAAGGTGACTTCATTTGAGTTGTATTGCATTCCTCTTTCTTGCGACGGACAATAAGACGTAATTCTTTTCTTTCATAACTCATATTTACAGCGGTGTTATTATTTTTCGTTGAGTATGGACTTTATTTTGGGCACGATAAGATTCACGCGAAATTAACAGTTTCGTATTTCCCTCGTCTACTGTGTGTTTAATAGTATTGATTTTGTCTCAAAATTTGATTTTGGATTTAGTGTTACTGATTCGTGTATTTAACGTATAAATTCTTACGCCGTAGCAAACCTTAAGACTTAGTGAATATTTAGCTGAGTGTTTCTTAAACTATTTTCATAGTAGTTTTTTTTTTTTTTTTTATTTATTATTTTTACGTTATCGGAGTTTTTTTTATGGAACCATTCTTAAGGTATTATCAGATTTTAGTGATTTAAAATCGTTAAATAAGGTGTTGAAAAATTATGGTCACCGAAATGTTTAATTTAATAGAGGGGAAACCCCAAAGAAATTTTACAGTGTACAGGGAATTTAGAAGCGATGTCAAATTTATCCTTAAATCGTTGATAACAGTTAACACATTGTATCAACAAGATTGTTTGCAATTTTATGAGGTGGGTCGTTTTGTCGTGCTTCTAACGGGACTCATAAACAAGAGGATTTAACTAACCTACTCTTTAAACAACTAAAAATATACTTAACTTCCAAACTCTTTGGCCCTGTATGATTAACATCACCATGGAGGTCTTGTAAGTACTAGTAATAGTATAAAAGAACTTCTTCGGCTGGCCCAGTCTTGTGATAAGACCGCTGTTCGCCGTTGAGGTTATGTCAAACATCTGGTGGCTGTAGGTTCGCCACGTAAAGAATGTTTCTTAGGTGAAAATGGCCGCATTATAATGTAATTTGCAACTACCATTCACTAACTATTACTTTTGACCTGTTGTAGTGGACAAGCTGCCCGATGGGTTCCCAGAGATCACTCTTCCTCCGAGCACCAAGGTGGTGGAGATCGGACACAACGCCGTGCTGGTGTGTTCCGCGGCCGGGAGTCCGCCCCCTAGGATCACGTGGGTCAGGGAGATGATACCCGTGGACACTGCGAACAATCCGCGGTACACAGTGCTCGAGTCCGGCCGACCAGGTATGTCAATGCTTGTAATTTGCGACTTCTTATAGCTTAGAAGAAAGGACTTAAAAATTCTGTCATTGATGTGTATAATTTTGTCGAAGTGTCAAAACGCAGCGTTAAAATTATACACAGTAATAGTAGCTCGTTATCAACAGAGTACAATTGAAAGAATCGTCACTAGATACATATTTTAAATCCTAATTTGTATATAACAGGCATCATACAAACTTAAAACCTTTATTCCGTGGAAATCCCCGTTGACATCACTCTAAGATTGTTGATTTTTGTAGCAGTAGTAAAATTTTTAATGAAAACTGTAGAGTGGCTACTCATTTTTAAGGTGTCTGGGGGAACCTCAACGGATTTGGAGGGTTGCTTCTCTTTATCCTCGTGAATCACTAATATGCATTATTAATTTATGATCCGAAACTTATTCGGTTATCAAGATTACGTACATTTTAGTTTAGGCAATTCCTTTTTCTAGTACAACTTACTATGTATTTATATTTACTTTGATTAGAACATTAACCCAGAATACAGAAACATTGAAAACTATCTTCGTAGGTTCATCATCACTATTGGATAACCTCATATACATAAAAAGAGTTAAACATAAAATTGATCATTTGAAAAACTTGTAACGTCTATCTAGGTTATGGAGTAGGCCGATGATACTCTGACTCGGACTGATTGTGTTCTGTAGACCTGATGATGAGTTATACCAACCCGAAATGTACATAGTCTAAATGAACTAGAAAAATGAATTGGCTGAACTGATTAAGGTACCTAACCTTGATTACTTATAGGCCTAATCCAGAAATTCCGGAGGCTGCATCATTGAATACTCAATGTAATAGAAAATACCCGCAATGCCAACTTAAATATTAAATCACCACTGTAGCACCAATCAACCCCTTCAAACCTTGAAATAAACCAAGTAATTTTAAATTCTACGTTTGTAGTTGTTTAATTTTTATTTAACCAATAATTCAACAAACTGTCTAATATCAATTCATATCAATCATCGTTACACTTTGGCGATGATCCCCTCAAGCAGAGTTATCCAATTTTGATCAGCTGATCGCCACGGAAGATTGGCTCGCGGGAGATTGACTTGTTTAATGAGTTTGTCAGCTGATTTGACACCGGCGACGTCTGACGTCTACTTTGAACATTTATTGCTTCGTTGACATTGATACACGTCGAGAATTGTCATCAGTTCCGGTCAAATTCGAGGGAAATTCGAGATTAATTCATAAAAATCGAATATTTCCAAATTGGATTTTGGTTGACTTCTCTGTGGTTGGCTATAGCAAATATTGTACTGTGTCGTGATTTAAAACTTATTGTCAACTGTCTGGAAGACGTTACTTCAATTCAATACATTGTTTTTTAGCCGTATTCATCTAAATAATAATACAATATTTATACTACTTTGGAATAAAAATTTATGAGTTTCAACGTGACAACATGCTACGGCATTACAATGTTGGAGTTTGTAACATTTAAGGTTTAATCAATAATTCCTTTGTGAATTTCTAAGTTGTTCGTACAGAAACTTGAAAATTATTAATACGACAAGTAAAAAAGTTACATCAAACAAACTTAAATAATCCAGCGGATGAAAACCTAAGATTTTGCTTGAAGGCCAGGTTTCACATGTTGTGTTCTCATGTTTAATACGGTTTCGTTAGTCAAGTAATCACTATTGCATATTGCTAATATTTCTGTGTGTGTTCTGTACGCATTCTTAACATTACTGTATTTCAAATGTATGCCTGATGCTGTAAATTCGGCAAAATAGTGAGAATCGGAGTCGTTGGTTGCTGTAATATAATTGTGATTTTAATTGATATGATATTTATTGCTGTCTTAGCTCTTGTATTTTACATCTGATTTACCTATCAGGGCGCCCGTAAACCAAAAGTTCCTTTGGGGGTAATTTTCTGTTATGATTTTCTTCAACATCCCCTCAGAGCTGTTCATCTCGTACATAACAACCATGTACATTTCTTAGAGTGCCAAAAATAGGTTGGAGTTTTTAAGTAGTTTCATAGTGATAAAATAATTACACAAGGTTTTTGATAAATTCCATAGTTTGGAAAGTACGCCAATTTAAGCTGTATAAAATTAAATGTAACAATAAATTGTGCATTTTCTTGTTTTGTAGTGAACACCTATCTTTGACCATAACATACAAAACATCACATAACATACATAGTGGGGATCATAATATACAGTAATAGACAAATATCACAGGTAAGCTCATAGATGTACAGTGAGTACATTAATGAGATTGCCTGTGCGATTTTATTAATACTGTATAAAATACAGTTATACTACAGTATATTATGATCCTCACTTGTAAGTTATGGTCAGAGATAGTTACTCGTCCAAAATGCTAGTATTCAAGTCCTTTAAGTTCAGGATTCAAGGAAACCCATAAACAAACAAAAAAATATCAATCAAACTGTTAAAGACAAATGTTTTCTATTCTAACCCTACTTTCCCATTAGTTTATGTAATTCATAAATATTCGACATACATTGCTAAGCGATATTCTAATAATTACACTTGAATTGTATTTACGTACGTTGCATACAATCCACAACATTCATGAAGAACCAAATGATTTTAACGGACATTTCGGGCTCAATAAGTTCATCGGTAAAATCTTAACTAGAACGTGGTCTCACATTTTAATACACAACAGTGTTGTAGTTACTAATGTTACTTTAGCACACAATTGTAAAAACAATAAAACCATTTTACCACCAGTGAAGCCTAATCCTCTTATCCTACTATCCAATGTAAATCCAGAAATGAACTAGTTTGAACGGTGACCGTTGAGTCGAATGGGATTACAGGATTTTGATGTTTTTGGATGTTTGTCTCTCGTATCGTCAGGACTCGATTGTATTTTATATGTTTTTCGCAAAGTTTTTGTAGGTTCAAAACTTAAAATAATGCAAATAAGAATTTGTTTCACTACTTCTTAAGAGGCAAATATAGGCAAGGACCTTGAAGAGATAATCGCATTGGATATTTTGAATACCGTAATATGTTTACGAATAGGATGAATTGGATATAATAGAAAAACAGGAAAGTAAGAAATTGGTTACATTACTTCTCAAGCAGCGGACACAGAAATATATTTATGTTAGGCTGGACGTGCAATAGGAGTGTATATTTGAAATTCTTCAATCAAGTTAATACGGGGTGTACCACGAGAGGTGTCCCAAATTGATTATTTTATTATGTATAACAGGACATATTCACATTTAAAAATTCCGAGGTTCGAACTAGTGACCCTCACTTTTTGGCACACCCTGTATTGGAAAAAGTTAAAAATATGTTTACGTTATTCCTTGGAGTTGATTTAGCGGGAAATAATTTTATTTCATCCTTGTACGTTAAGCCGTTTTTCTGTAATCAATTTGAGACACCTCTCGTGGAACACCCTGTATATTGACACTTGGACTGAATATCGCAATACAAACTACAATTTTTTTACCTTTTGAGCTTTAGTTTGCAATCGACTTGAATCCATTTTAGTCTGCAATATTTTTGGAATCGCCTACATTTAATTCTACTGAAGACGAGTTTAGGAAGGATCCTTCATGTTTTTAATCCTCGTCCTAATGGCTAAACAAGAATGAAATTAAATACAACCGTTCTGCAAATAATACAAGTTTTGATAGTCACCTTTTCTTTCCTTGATAATCTTTTCTTCTGTTACGATTCCTGAAGCAACATAAATTCACCATCACTGGCAATCAATTGCTAACAGAAAATATCTTTTGTTTCGCTTCCAAATAGCCGTATGGAAACAAGACCGGGCTATCTGGTGAATAATACATTGCCCAATTGTTGACCATTTATATGCCCCAGGCTTGCTACCAACCCTCCCTTCTGTTCGTGCGCCAAACTATACTTTATGGTTAAACAATTTTCTCAACGCTTTCTATATCAGCGTAAATCATTTGATGATAGAAATGAATTAAATGGAATAACAATATCTGGGTCACTTAACCATGCAGATGTAGTTGTTGCTAGAAATAGAACACAGTGGTTACTCAAGAACAGTTAGTATTCAACGGCAATGCACAAAGTAATACATTACTTCCTCTTATTGTGATATTCCACCATGTAAACCCTGTTTATTGTGAACAGCTTTGCTTCTAGACAATCCCTTTTACTATGTATATGAATATTTGTATACATGTGCAGAAATTAGGTTTAGTTGTATAGCTGTATGACAATCTGTTTTAATGTAATTAATTTTATGACAATGCTTATTTCATAGAGTAGGAAACACTTTGGGTTTTTGTGTAAACTGTTCTACTTTACAATCTCCTTGACATTATATACAATAATTATTCGTTAACCCAAGTGAACACTTTAGTGTTTTAGAAAATTTACTTTTGATAGTCAAACTCTGGATTATTTCAAAGGATTTGCAAGTGGACGGTCCAAACCGGTTGGTTTTATCATAGACAAAAAATTCTTTTTGTCTATGGTTTATCTAACGACTACCTGACCTTGAAAAGTAATACATCAAGATAGTACATCATTTAGCGTTATTAAACTGACCATATAAATTGTACAACCGTTAGGATGGTGACCCAGTAGGCCTATAATTTTTCTAGTTGACACAATTCACTTGGAACAGCTTTTATACTTTTAATACTCATAGCTTGGTAATTTAATTATTCCGAATCATTTGACAAAAGACGACAAAAGAGTGCCTAAATCTTAATGAGGAATTTGGAACAACTTGCTGTACATTTTCTTAAATATGCGGCGCTACCGATTATTTTAAATTTAACATGATTTACCTGTTAGTACCTTAAACATCCTTTTGAACTACCATGAATACAAAAGAGCGAATATCAGCATCGAAAACCCCATAGTCATACCAATTTATTATGATTAAATTGGAGATAAATGAAGATTTAGAAAATAATTTTCCCGGGTAGTGGGTTAAAAAAGCTTTATTTGTTTTACAATTT